ACCCCGGACAATGTGCATGGTCGGCGAGCATCCTAACCACTGTGCCATCGGCGCATTAATAAACACATGACAATAGTCCTAAATTTGTTTTATAGATGTGCTTAGACGTACAGAGTCCATTTTATATACTATTTTTATTCGAGACAACAATTACAAGCCTGCTATTTTCGTTCTACTGAAAATGTACTTATTTTATTTTTCTAGCCCAGCCGGTCGCAAGGAAGTCCAGAGGAGAGCTAATGAAGCTGGTTGATGTATCGTATTACGGCAACTGTGATGAAGATGATGGTGTGATTGTTCCTCAGGAGGCCATTTATGAACAAGAAGGTACAGAAATTTCCCTTCATGTAATTCTGTTCTTGCAGCCATAGCTTATAAAGTTGCTTTATGGAAAGCACGTAAGGAGAATGATTCCCTACCAGCATATGCTGCTAAACATCCTACTGGTGATGAAATAGATGATTTGGACGAAGACAACGCTGATACAAGAAACATATATGACGCTGGAGATAATGTAAGTATATCAAACTAATTTTTTTCACATGAATATATGCATCATTTAGGCCAGCAGAAGTGTTTTGTGTCATTATGTAGTTAACATAATGTTTCAGGATAGGAATTTTTCGATAGTTATTTTTATATTTAAGTTTGTAATGACGGATTTAAATCCCTGGTGGTAGTGACCTCATCAAAAGAATTAACGCAAAAAACTAGTAAAATACGAAGTTCAAACTAAGGAGGTTCTTTAACTAAAAACTAGTACTAAAATGACAAGAAAATTGCCTAAAAGTATGGCTCTTTTCCGCACAAATATATTCCATTTTCAGGATACATTAGACAATTCAGCACTAAAACGATTTTCAGAAAATACAATAAATAAGATGAAAGCTCATTTCACTACTAAATAAAGTGATTGGGTAGCCAGAATTAGTCCTTACGCAGAATCAGTCACAATGGAAGTAACTAATAAAAAACAGAGCTAGGCATAAAAAGACGAAATTGTTTACCGTATGTGATGATTTGACTGGCACAGAGAAAATTTAAAATGAACGTAGGTTAGTAGATGACTCGGAGGGTTATATTACAAATGTAACTTGGTGTGCGAACACCGACACACCAGTGAAAATTTCGAACATCTGTTTTTTCTTGTCAGATTAAAATAAGTGACGGGGTGGGGGTATTTTTATTGTATTCCTTTGCGTTCCAAATCGAACATAAGTCTTCAAGCTGTGAATTTCGAATTTTCAGTAGCAATGGTGTTATTTTTACGGGGTGCGGTTGCTAGGCTCACTCCAAACTTTCCTTTACCGAACTTACTACCGGCTAAGCGAAGTTTAGGAGTACCTCGGCCGGGTACCGATTTCCAGACTACATGCATGGTCGGTGAATATTCTACCTCTGAGTAGGAAATAAATGTCATAAAAGCCTTCGTATATGAAGCCGATGAGTCCCTAACAGTAAGTAGGTGGAGACTTTGTTACATTGGTGAAAATTCTCAAAAATAGATCTGTATTATCTACTTTAGCACCATTGAAATTCATAATATCAACTTGTCTTCATTGGATTATAGTCTCTTTCTCACATTCACGTTTGTTCTTCAGAAGTTCGTATCATTTCTGTTGCCTTTTTCTATACGTAGTGTTTCAGAGTGCAGTAACTTCGCTTAGTCTAAAAATGACTATGGAGCCTAAAATCTTAGGTAACATACTTTTTAAGTTCATGCCGTTGTGATTATGGTACGAAATTTTCCACCCTTATAAATTGGTATGAACCAACTGAACTAATTTGGTTGAACTTTTTCACTAGGTAATACGTAGACACCCTAATCAATAATTCACCACCGCAATTCTCAAGCACCTCTGGATTCATAACATCTTGTCCTCTTGAATTTCGAGACTTCGATCAACGTAGACGGACCAATATGTACATCACATTCAGACTGGCGTTGGATTATGGCCATCTGTAAGACAGTTGAACTGCTATTCAAAATGTTCTGTTCACCAATCCAGCCGTTTCTTTTAAAAAGATAACCACTTTTTTACATCACTTACTATATACTCTTTAGAATCTGTTTTCATTTCGAGCTCAAGTTGTTGACGCATAATACCTATCGCTGAAAACTTTTACACTTTCCCCACCCACCAGTAAAGAGAATAAAGGAGGTCACAGAATAAGTCACGTATTTTTAACCCAGAATGCTCATATTAGTGCTAACAGTGAACTGAATGGAAAGTCTTACGTTTTACAAATAGTCATTTTAATTTATTTTAATGAACACGCTATCTGTCTTCAGCAGTCTTTTGTGCAACTGTTATGGAAAATGGTCCTTATTAGTAGTTTCTGATAAAATGCTATTACTGAAGCAATGTTTAGTGGACCTATCTAGTATGATTTCAGCTATTTTCGAATCTATTTTTTTTGCTAATGTATTTCTTTATTCTGAGAGAAACATAGGGCCTCAAGTTAAGGCTTTGAAATTTCGGTAGGAGTGGTTTTATTTTTACTGGGTGGGGTTGCTAGCCTCATGCCCAACCTTCCCTCTTTACCAGCCTTACTATCAGCTTAGCGAGGTTGAAGAGTGCGTTGGCCGAGGATGGAACCCCGGACCACCTTCGTGATTGGCGAGCGTTTAACTGCTGAACCACCGATGCACCTTTCTAATTAATGACTAAATAATTATTGTTTACAATTTATTTCGATTTTAAAACCTTATTTTTTACAAAACACTCAATTCATTCTTTTTTGTATCACATAGCCAGCTGATATAGAACTGATGCGCCTTTATGAAGCGATTGATGAAGGCAATGAGGTTGGATCTGTTGACTTTACGAATGCTGAACAATTAGTAGCATTGGTAAATGATGATGAAAGTGTTAATACCTTAGATGATGCTACAAAGTTAGGAAGCAAATCTATGAGTTCTTTGAGCACATCAGTCAAGCGAGCATTTGTTGCTCATGTTCCAGTCTATACACAAGAGCAGGTGAGTTAATAGTTGTTTTTTGATACATTCTTCTTATGTTGTCCTTGTTTTTTAATTTAACACCAGTAAATCCAAAGTTATTATGGAACTCAGAAAAATAAAATCGGTTACTTTAGATAGATTACATTGGAGTGTTATAAAAATGATAAATAATCTCTTGAAATATGTATAACCGTTTTTCATTGAGGCCTAGTGATAAGTAATCGTAACAGTGAAATAACTGATTTCGAAGTGAACTCAAGATATGTAGGCATAAAATATTTTGAATAATGTATCAGAAATGACACTTGAATTTTTTCTTCTTTCATTGTATTGCATCACCAGATTGAATCAGCGTTGGTGGCTCAGCGTAAACGTGAAATTCTCGAAAAATACATGTCTAGTGATCTGTTAGCCAGTATGGCACAAACTGGAGAGATTCTTGGTATCGAAAACAGTAATGGTATGCAATTCAGTTATCAGGATCCAAATGATGATCAATCTGTGTCAAGACCAACAGGAAATTCTGATTTTGAAGCGGAAGAAGAGGAGGAAGAAGAAGAAGAGGGGAACTGAATCTTTTCTTTCCATAAACTACTGTATGTATATTTTTGTACAGATCCCAAGTAATTTAATACTCAGACCAAAATTGTTTCTTCCTGTCCCGTTTACTAAGTACTCAGTAGTTTTTTGAAGTGAGAGGGGTTCATATGTGAGAGATTCAGATAACGTTTCAGGTTATTGTATTGTAGTGTGAATATTTCCGCTGTTTGTTTCTGCAGTGATTCTATTTCATCTTACTGTCAATATATGTGGTAGCTGACGGCATATTTAACTCTTAATTGTAACGGCTGATTCTCATGAATGTTATCACTGAAATATGTAGCCATAGGAGGAGACAGTTTGCACAAGAAAAAATCTTTGTTCCGCTTTTCTAATCATGGGGACTTTTGAAGGTTTAAAACCCGCAAGTGTATGCTAGGTAACATTTTCTCGAAACACCGCACTTTCCCAAATTATCTTGTATGACTTCATAGTAATGACTGTCAATTGTTTAGACTCGTTACACATATCAAGTCTACTGATATTGCAGCTAGTGAAATGCTCGTTGTTTAACGGAATAATATTTACGGCTACGTGCAGAAGACTATGAGGAGGACTTTAGTCAACCTGCTATTATTATTATGGCATCAAATAGTGACTAACTAGACGTTACATTCAGAGTTGAGTAACACGAATCATAAAAAGCCCAGAGAACGCCGATCGATCAGAAATATCTAAAGGTGACGCCTTAAAGTTACCAGTTAAACTGATTCAGTAGTTGGAATGTTAGAGTTAGACGTAATCCCCTCTAACTGTTTAAATTGTTTGATTGTCCCATTCCTTAACGAGAGACTTCATAAAAGTTGCAAATTCAGATTTGACAGACATATTTTCCAAGACTTCGAGTTGTGCAACCAGCCCAAACACGACTAGGAAACTGATCATGTTTCACTCGTGTCAGTGGATACGTCAACTGAAAATTCACTTAACGCCCCATCCTGAAGCACAATTTTAATTGTTAACACCTTATTTCTCAACCTGACAGTATTCTACCAACCAATAAGACGTCCGACAGTATCTTCACTAGGACGATTGCTTGACAATGACCATATTTTCGATCCTATTTATGTTTATTTCGAGATATTTGCCAAAGGTATAGATCACTGAGTCACCGTTCCTGTTGCTTAAAGGCACAGTGAAATCTGACACGTTTCTGTAACACAAGAGCCATATCTTTGCAGTCATTTCAAGCAATTCTGTTAACCGTTATTAAACGTGAAGAAGTCTGGCTGCTTCATGTCGACCTATGTTTTACAATGTTATCCTATTCTTTCGTGGACAAATAGGTAAATAATACCTGAAGAACTTTGAGATAACCACAAAGTATATCACACACTTAGCAATAACTGGCAGTAGAAAATTAGGGTAATATTATAATAGGAGGTATTTCTAAGATCAATCACCCAGAAGTTTTAATTTATATCGTCAAAAAAACATCTTAGTTACTTGAAAATTATATTCTGTAGCTGTATACAATAAGTACATTATAACAATTGGATCGATATTATGTTTTTGTTCAAATCAGTAACAATGGTTAAACTTGAACATAAGGATATTTTGTACACATTTTAGTAGTTACAGCTACTGTCAAAAAGCGTATTATAAGAAATGATGAAAATGAAAAGAAAACAATCAAATTAAAAGAGAGAGGTGCAAGTATTCATTAGACTATATAAACTCTTTGAACCTGAGAGCTTTCAAAAGTTTTTCCTGAACGTGGACATGTTATTGTTCCATCTGATTGAGTTAATTCAGCAATACCCTTCATACAAAAAAATTAGGAGAAATTGTTATTGGTATCATATACAGTGATCATTGTCAAAAATGCGTCTATTTATCCTTGTGTATTTCAGTCGATATTGCAATACTAAGAGTGAAAATTTATGAGAGAATTAACTATTAGCTCTATCGAAAAGAGGTGCACACCGATACAGTTGGTTGAAACTCAGCTACCCGACACAGATTTCTTATGTGGTGGACTGCGCGACACAATTACTGTGTGAGGATTGATGGTACTATGCAGTCAACCAGGCGAAAGTATGCTGGACGGGATTCTAAGTTGCGATATAGTGGCTGGATTATCTATTGACTAACATCATTTGCTTGTGATGTGGGAATTATAAATGATGACAACAGATAACCCCGATTCAATAGGGTGCTCAACACTAAAACAATACAGTTAATACATCTCAGTTCTGCACCAACATAGATAATGTTTATTTAGCATACTTTTATAGTGTAATCATATTTTCCGTTCTAAAGCATAAACCCTTAAAACAGACGAAAGTAAAATTCAGACAATATCATAAGGCCCAGTCTTATGTATTTAAGTCAGTTAGTTATTACTCAATCAGCCCTCACACTTACTGTGTGAGGATTAATGACACTACCCAGACTGTAGTAGGTGGAGCGGGACTTGAACTTAGTGACCCATTGGAAGGAAAACCAGATAAAAAGTATTTTTTCAACTCATTTGCGTTCCAAGCGGAAAATAGGGCTTCTAGCTCGAGCTCTTAAGTCTCAGTAGTGGTGTTTTTACGGGGGAGGGTTGCTAGCCTCACTTCTTATAAACGGGCCTGCCATCGAGCTTTAGGAGTGTGCCGGTCGGAAATCGAACCCCAGACCACCGATGCAGATAAACAAGTATAATACGAGAAATTATAAAGCGACATATTAACAAACAATAAATGAATGTGATTACTCAAGATAATAAGGGGAACTAGAAAAATTGTGAATTCTAGAGCGAGTAATGGTAGTGATACCGGTTACACCTCTTTTTCCTACATCTACAACTCGCAACTGTTACATCAAGCTGAGATTTGATAACCTGATTCCTGTCGGTCAGATCATAAAAATACAGTAAATTAGAGTGAATGATTTATGTTATCGGTTTTGTCCGCCTGGCCTCAGTTAACTAGTAAAGCTACATACAGTTTACACTTCCCATTCGCTCACTTTAGAAGATGAAAAGTCACGCTTTTAGAATAGTGGTTTACATAATTTGTCCCACAACAGACATCGAATTGAAGAATACAGTTTCAATGCTAACACTGAATGTTTGTAAAATAAGCATGAAAGACTCTTCGTCGAAACTGCAAGCATATGACTAATAGTTTCTTGATAACGAACCCACTTTAGTCAGTCTGTTTGCCTTTATAAATTTATTCAAAAAGCCTCCAAACAATGTGGTGTGCTCATTAATCAATTCGTTTTCCATAGTGTTTTCCGAACATAACTGAGTACTTTTATTAAATTTCAGTTGTACTACAGGATTGCTAATTATTATGAAAACTTTTAAGTACATGGGCATGTTTGTTTACAAATATCATTTTACATATTGTTTTGCACCGAACAGAGGATATCTGATTAGCAGAGCGACTGGACAGTTCTGATGAACACAAAGAATTGACTGTAGGCAAACATGTTGCTTGGTCATACAAATATATTAGAATAAATGTAACCAGATACTATTTCGCTCATAATCCTATCTTTTGAATAACTTAGCAATATGCCATTTACTTTCATTTCGGTGAATTAGCTTGATCCCATCAGATATCTCTGATACTGATGCCACGGGAAAAAAACTTAGGGACACTTTTGTGCCAATTTTTGTCGATACCCGTTTCGGCACTAGAAAGGCCCCTCATCATAGGTAATAAGATAATATTGACAATCGTGTGGCTTAATATATATATATATATATATATATATATATATAAGGTGCTACACGAACACCAGTGGTAAAAAGAAAAGCCTAATACCTTTTGACTATACACATAGCCGTTCGGTAAAGACATAGGAGGATTGTCATCATTCATAGGAAGACCAGTTTTGTAGCATGTCAGTATTGAATGATCATGACGGGCAAAAGGTAAATTCACTGCCAATTGATTAATCAATGGATGACAAACAGCACAATCCCTGTGTTGAGTACTTGGATTGTAACAATAGCTGGAATTACAGAACCGTTTGAGTTAAGGATGTAGAAAATTGAAAAATAATAAAATCAAGCTTAGCAAATGTACGTGTTTTTGCATTAGACCATGAGCTAAACGCATTGTTCAAGGGGTAGTGACGCAATCTGACCGTTTAAGCTGCAGTAAAAAGAACGGTTACTGAAGGTTGGCCCTCTGTTAAGAGTAGAAAATACTTCGTGAACTTAGTAACATACAGTTTACAAGAAGTTAAAATAAATGAAAAATAGCTAGTTGGTTGCACATTTCGGTTATTCGTAACAGCATGCAAGTTAAGCTAACATATCAACTTCATTGTTAAAAACTACTGCGTAAGATGGTCCTTAACGTTAATCGCAACAGACAAGATTGATGACAATCCACCGATCTGTATGACCTGAACTTGTCTCTCGTGATTATCATGTGATTATTTTAATTTATTATTATTTATTTATTATTTCTTCTATATTTTAGAAACAGATAAAGTTTACGTTAAGTTATCTGAGTTTCAACTATAATCAAGCTTAGAGTCTGTGTCGTCAGTATTGATAGTGAGGACAAAATATCTGTAGGCAAATTTAATCCTACACTTACTACTGTACAGAAATGATCAATAGGTCCTGTTAACAAAATAAGGCGAAACTTAAAACTAGTAATAATAGATACTGTCGACAAAGAAAAAGGATACTGGGTTTTGATTGCTGTAATTCCAGCGTTAACAGCTAGTTGAAATGGAGAGTAGACACTATAGGCATAAAACTCCATAAGTACTTCATGCGTTCTTTTCACTATCCACTTTTCAGTTAACTTGTTTTGATCCTGAAATAAGAAATTTTTGTTTTAATATAAAGCAAACAGGTAATGGAATATTTTTGGCAATATTAACTAAAGTTGCCAACTATCTGTTATGACTTACTTAGGCAGAGCAAAGAAATATTACATTCTACATGAGTGATAGTAACAACCATAAACCTCTTAAAATCAGTGTCATTGTTTCTCTGTATTGAAAAGATCAGAACACACTAGTCGACCAACGCCAAGATCTTGTCAAATGACTTGGTCTAGATTTCACTAAGCAATGCGTTTGGCACTTAACAGTCATTTGAGGTAAGATCAAAAAAATAAATGATAACAACTTTAAGACAAGTCTAGATACTGTATTGTATGCACTTTGCACTGTCCCGTTGAAAAGTACTCTTGGAAGACTGAGAAGAGCCTGGGATAAAATTTCACAATAACCTATACGTATATATATATATATATATATGGGCTGTATTGTTTCTTTTTCAGAACCTTTAACAAGGGAGAAAGACGAAATGCCTGTCAGCGATTTGCAAACCGAAAATATTGTCTCTTGGGTCTACTTTAAGTTTACTTACAACATCAAAATCAATAGATGCATGCAGTTTCTCATCACCTTTTCATGTAACCGATGGGAAAAAATTGCCCATATACTTGATCACAACTAATAAAAACATGTACAGTGATATTATGCGAGACGTTTGGTGATACGACTCAAAGGCACAAGTGCATTCACAGTCTGTGATCCCTTATATCCACTAAACCACCACGTTTATCCATGTTCTTATCCTTCTCCTTCACATTTCTGCTTACTATAATGATAATTGTTTTTTGATCTAATTTTTTCTCTCTGTTGTCTACCTTTGTGTGCCACATGGAGTGTGACAACTTCAACTGCTGCGCGCTTGCGTGCCAAGTTCTATGCTGAAATTTATTCGGTTAGTGGTATTGTGAGAATGTACGTCCTAATTACACTTGGTCAAGTATTGAGTGTTCCCTTAGAATTGTTGATATTATATGGTAGGAGGCAGTTGGCAGGAACCCTTGGACCTAGATTTCCAGCTATCTGGCACTCGTCAGCAAGGCGTATCTGCAACCATGAAAGAACTTATGTCTCTTCTGAGATTCGAACCCGCGTCACCCAGTGCTGCAGTTAGAGACGTTACTACTGAGCTATTCGGACTCGCGATTGACTTCCTGTAGCACTGTATTGGATACTTTGGTTGGACAGCAGTTAGTAACTAGTGTAATGTGTCAATCGCCAAGGCGAATAACTTAGTGGTAAGGTCTCTGACTGCAGCACTGGGTGACACTGGTTCGAATTTCAGAATAGACATAAGTTCTTTCATGGTTGCAGATACGCCTTGCTGACGAGTGTCAGCTAGCACGAAACCTAGGTGAAACAAGGCTTCTTGACGACTGCCTCCAACCGTCTAATATTAACAATCTAAAGTGTACTGTGATGGTGAGCAACCTAGAATGGTGGCCACATTGCAAACTTCACTGAAACAATTTAGTCTGCATCAAACAAAGGACTAGATGTGTTACACTAGTTACCAGCTAGTGTCCAATCAAAGTATTTATTGTTCCCTTTTAGTCGATATCTTCCAGTGCAAAGAATTAGTACATAACTTTTATTGAAAATGGCCTACACCTGTTATTGTTTTTCTTCATGAGGAAGGAAATAAATAAGTCATACGCTATCTATAGGCTTATTATTGTAAGAGACCAATGTATAAAAGCTCGACGGCTGTATTGATCATGTAGACATGATTTTAACACGCTTTATTTATTAAGTGTAAAGTAAGTTGTTAATACGCTCTAAGAAGAGATTCCTTATAAATCGATCTAATTTTTTCGAAAATAATTCGACCATAAAATTCAATTTTATTTCAACTAATATGGAGATTTATAGAACTCAAAGTAAGTCGAATGTTTCCATGCATAGTAACCTAATGATTGTAAAGCATCAGAAAAAATGACGATTGCGTCCGTTCGTCAAGTTCAGCTATGTGTAAATGCAACAAAACTTACAAAATTATTTTTATTTTAAACATTAACTCACCGCTTTACTTTGTAGCTCTTCGGGTGTACGCATTGCCAGTAAAATCATTGCTTGACCAAGTTTATTGGCGCGGTAATCATCATCTTGCTTTATCGAACTCATATATTTTCTGGCATGTCTAGAAATGCAAAAACAAAAGTTAATTTAAGATGAACAAAAAAAATACTCATATTCTTTCTCAAACACACTGCAACATGTTACGAATGATGTATTGTCGGGACAAATTTATGAATTTGAACATGAAACCCCGCTGATAAAACATATTGATGGTTGATTATTATGATCAGCAGTATTTCATAATTTTTCGCATTTTATAACTTTTTATAATCATGTTGCAACATAGCCGATTTAAGTCAGATTCATCAGGAAATTACGGAGAGTTTATCACCTAAATTAAAATTGATACCCTACATAGTTTCAGGAAGAGAGTATGAAGATATTTAATATCTTATACTTCCTAAAGAGTATTTGAGAAATAGAAATTGGTGATGAGAAGCGCTTTGACTTATCTTTTTTTATTCCCTTACGTTCCCAGTGGAACATAGGGCTTCAAGCTAGAGGCTTAAAGTTTCGGTAGCAGTGCTGTTTACTTTTACGGGATGGGGTTGCTAGTCTCATGCCCAACCTTTCCTCTTTACCAGTCTTATTACTGGGTTAGCGAGGTAAGGGAGCGCATCGGCCGGGGACCGAACCCCGGACCACCTGCGTGGTTGGCGACTATTCTACCGCTGTGCCACCGACTTATTAGAAAAACGTAAAAGTTATTATTATTATTCCCTTTGGTTCCGACTGGAACATGATTGCCCATATTCTCTCATCTCATCGACCATGTCACCTTCAGATGCCCCACTCGTCATTTCCCGATTGGGGTCCCGCTCAAGCAATGGCCTGGTACGCGATGTTATTCGATGGTCTCCTCAGTCCGTGACTGATCCATCTCTACTGTTAATATCAGTGAAAAGTTTGTGCATTGTGGAATAGATCAAATCGATTGTACTTATATTTCAACAGTTTACACAACAATTCTAACAGTTCGTGTGATTACGGGTAGTAATTTTGATCGAAATATTACCAAAACGAAAAAATTGTCACTGTGTGTACACCACTGAAGTATAATTATAATTAATCTCATCTCCATATTCTTCGGCATATTTATTGTGCAACAGATCTTTGATTGGTTGATTTCCAGAGTTTCTTGTTGCTAATTCTCCCAGGCCATTTGATCTTCAATATGGGACGAAGGCGACTGTTGATACAAGTCTGCAACAGGTTGTTGGAAATGCGTTTTGTGACTCACCAAGTTTCTAAGTCATATGGAAGAAATGACTGACTTAACATTGGTGTTGAAAAGTCTGAATTTCGCTCTTTATGGTGATGATGATCAATCAATAATTTTCAAAACTTAATAATCTTGCAAAGCAGTCCTAAGTGAAATTTTACAACAGTCATCAAAAACACAAGCTTGTATAACTTTTTAACAGGTACACAATGAATGGTACTAAACTGGAAGAAAAAACTAAGTCAGCAGTCATTATAAACAAAAAAATTTCTATCCAAAAAACTTACTGAATGGCATCGATTCGTTTCCCTTGTTTAACGAGCAGATAGAATTCGAAGACACGAAGATCAAATTCATAATAAGACTGCGTAAAAGAAAGTTATGATAAAAGAGCATAATACATTGTAAAGTATGATATAATTGGAGAAGATGCTAGAAAAATGCAGTGCAGTGATTTGTACGTAGTGCAGAAAAACGTCACATATACAGAAACACTTTGTACAACGTCACTCATCAGCTATCAATAGGATATGCATTTTGAGGATGTCTAAAATTAGAATACAGTATTATTCTATGAGAAAATATTAACGGACAAAAAGAATCATGGTTTTGTTTGTATACTATTCTCAAAAGTAGGATTTCACTCGAAGACTTATTGATAATCAGATTCTAACCCAATGACTGAAGAGATTATCATTGATTGACAGACCTGAAGTTTAATTGGTGGATGGTGATTAGCAGTGGAATCCAGGATGCACATTTCGTCCTATTTAGGACTCGTCATCTGGATGTACCTGCATTTCTCAGTGGGTGATGATGTTCCCACCGAGGCTCGAACCCAGTGCCCATTGTTCCAAACGCCAAAGCGTTATCCACTAGACCACTTGGGCCACGAGAGCCACCTCTTGTGCAACCGGTCATATTGATTTAATTGAATTTTAGATTTTTCCCGCCGATTGATTGACGAGTCCCAAATAGGACGAAATGCGCATCCTGGATTCCACTGCTAGTCACCATCCACGAATTAAATACTAATCAAATGCCCAGACATCGTCGAAGCATCTGCTCAAGAAGTCGACATGTCAACCTGAGATCGAGCACTTCGGTCCAATCAATCGACGGGAAAAATCTAAAATTCAATTAGACCTGAAGTTTTTGGATTTTATTCATAAAGGAGTAAATATCGTGAACCCAAATGACGCACTTCTTTAATACCTCAAGGCTTTCAGATATTTGATTACTAACCACTTGTACTAAATTCCTCACTGCACTACTTAAGCCTATACCGATGCAATACATTACGCTACGACACAACAACCATAAACACAATCGCAGGTAAAGGTGTACTATCCCAATAGTAGACATAAACGATGGCTTATCCGGATATGAATAGTAGATCAACAATGAACAATTTTGAAAGCAATAATTTTTTATGACTGCTTTAGTAAAGATGAGAATATCTTAGTCAACTTACGTCATTCTTTTTCAACTTGAAGTTGGCTTCTTGTAACCAAGCAAATGCTGGACCCGTGTCTCCTTCTAAAAGTGCTTTTTCGATAGACACAGCCTCGTCAAAAACCTCCAACATGCACAGATCACCAAGTTCTGGTTTTTCTTGGGCAAATTTTAAGGCAGACTGGGGTTGACCGCTTGTAAAAAGATAATCCGTCAAGTGCCTTTGAAATCTGGCCAAACTAACTGAAGATTCATCGAAAGGATGAGACAAACGAGGTTTAGTTGTAACTTCTGACTCATTGTTAACGTTTTTTGAAACAGATTCCTCAGATTTTTGACCACCTCCAGTACTCCCAGTTACCTCATCTAAAGCAAACCAGTAATATGCATTACACAGAAGGAATTATGAGAACTACATTAGAAAACCAAAAAATACACAAGCTAAATCGATAGTATCTAAGTATGATTTATGCCTTGCTCTGCTCAAGTGCTAAGTACAGTTAAGAAATTGGCAGAAGCATGTACCTGAATCCACCCTTACAGGTGCACCATTAAAAGCAGTAGAAGTTCACATGTGCGTCGGTGGCACAGTGGTTAGGACTCTCGCCGACCATGCACATGGTCTGGGGTTCGATCCCCTGCCGACGCACACCCGATATCCATGGTCGGCCTACAAAATTTGGGCTACCGATATCCATGCTGAAAATTCCATACTTGTACTGAAAATACGGTGTGGCATCAAGCTGTAATCAAATTAAAAAATTAAATTAATTTATACGGTCACTGGCGAAGATGTGAACGAATAAATTTCTAATCACAGAGTGAAAGCCAAAGTAGCGAATGCCAACCCAAACCACTTTTTGTGTTGTTAGCCACACCAGCAAAAGTTAGGCTTACAACGCGGCGGTACGATCGGTCTTGCTCTGCGCTTATAAAATCTATCCTCTCAGGGTTGACCGTGCCACAACTCTTCACGTTCAAGTTTTGCTGTCTCTATAGAAATGCTTGTAGCCGATGGTATCACGGTGTAATTCTGACGTCTGTTGGCACTTCTTTGGATATGACAGAGGTCATCCTTTAGTAAGTGATATCATAATGAGACACCGGATCCTGCGACTTGGATATGTATTACTAACTTCCTAGCCACTCTTATACTACATACTGGGACTGCACAAAAAACTCGAAGAGGTGAAGCTGTGAGGTAAAGAATGGTTATGTTAAAATGTGTTATTGCAAAGTGGCTCTGTGGGTATGATCTGAAAGATCAAACGACCCAGTAAATCGAGGCATTATCAGATATGACTCCGAATTCAAATCAGTGGCGAACAGACTGATATTTCCCCCTTACTTTTTTGAAAGTAATACGAAGTAGTGAATGCTCCTCCAAATGTACTTTATGAGTATACTTAACTGTTGTAGTACTGTTGTTACATCTCTTTCCCTTGTGTTGTTGTTTTATTATTTTTGCGTGACCAGTATTTTCAAATAAGTAACAACAGGATGATGTCAATATATTGAGCAGAAACTAATCATATCATCTCCACAATAAGTTGTAATCTAAACCGCCATATAATTGACAGCGAAATACACATCAGTCGAGAACGGCACAACGGTTAAAGTCATCAAACTACACGACATTATACATTTTTAACAATCAAGAGAAACAAATACGCGTTTTCAGAATTAGATGATACTACAGAATAAAAAAGACACAAAGGAATACGATTTAAGACTAAAGAAGAGTGATACATTCTACGCCAGTTTTATTTTATCGTCAGATTCTGATTGTCTCAAGGACGTTACCTAACAGCCAGAGATTCATCTAAATTTATCCAGAAGTACAACTGTTTTTAGCGGACAGTTAGTTGATCACATTCCAGCCAAGCCATGAACAAGTCTTTTATAATACTTTTCCCAAATTAACTAGTTTCAATTAACTTTAACAGATACAAAGCTAACAGTACAAACGAGGATCAATTGCCGTCCAAATGCAGTACTGCATGACTGACAGTTTATTTACAAACCATAGTCCGATAAATAGTACCTTACATTTTGTATAATACCTAAAAAGGGAAGTGATTCTAAATTGAGACTAAAGATGTGTTGGAAAGCAGATTCTGATATATCGGATAGTGATTATCTATAATCAAGAAAAATGCTGTAACAAGATTACAATGAAGGGTATGTATTTTACAAGTTTGTTGAATTCCGATGTATCAATTGCACTGATATCTCACACTAACTACATTTTTTAATGTTAAGTGGAGCTGTGCTCATTGGTTTAGGTATTTGACTGCGAACAAGTCTACCTACTGGCGTTTGGCAGTCAGGCAGTACCACTAGCCCTCGCACAATAGATGTGGCTCAATCGGAAATACATGGAATTGCAAGCGGTTATTGATAAACATTTCATTCATTTTCAATCTGACGGTGAAAGCTCACCTAAATGCTGTCCTCCCTGTTGAGTACTGTTTTATTATAAAAAGATATTGAACAGACACAGTAAATTACTTCTACCTCCTTACAAACCATCAAAGTGATTAGGAGTAAAATTAGCACGAATCATCTTGTCTATCTGAACAGTACTAAGAAAAGCTTGGACCGAAAACATTATTTCTAGTTAGATCACGAAGTTACATCAATTAGCGAACCGCTGAAAACCAGGGAGTACTGGACAGACTTTTAACCTTGGTTTGGGCCTCCTCAGTAGTACATACCCATGACCTTATAGGGGATCGAAACTTACACTACCAGGTTGCAAGGCAAGTCCACTGACCCCTAAGCTACCGACACGGAGTCCAATGGATCACGATATATAGCTTCTGCCGATTAGTGATAAATAATGCTATTCTTATTTTATGTACTGGGTTGTAAATCAGATTTTCTGTGTAAATGCTGATGACACTATCCAGTCCTATAGGCTCAACTAGGTGAACTTAAATTAAAAAACGAACCATGGACTAAAAGTCAATGCGCAAAATCCTTACTCAAGATCACACCAAAGCTCATACATAGATTAATCCAGTCAATATTGCACTTCGAATTGCATCGGTGGTTTAACGGTAGAATGCTCGCTAACCACGCAGTTAGTTCGCGACCCGACCACTGGCCGACGCACTCCTTCACCTCTCAAAGCCGATAATAAGACTAGTAAAGAGGGAAGGTTGGGCATGAGGCCAGTACCCCAAAACCCGCAAAAATGAACACCGCTGCTACGGAAACTTCGAAGCTCTAGCTTGAAGCACTGTTCCACTGGGAACGTAAAGGAATAAATTTTTTTTAAACATCTCGAATTACCACTTCTTCGTTTAAATTTTGCTTGAAAAACACTTAGGAATTTTGCTTTAAAGACAAAATATCCAATGAGGTTTAGGAGCTCTCAAGCCCTGTTCCATTACATAAACAATACAATGAAAAAGAATTTTGAAGTGATTACTAAAATGTAAACAACTAAGATATCTAAATTACTACAAGCCACTGAAATAAATACTGCAGATTAAGTCACTGAAAATTTATGAAAAGCCCGATGTCCGTCATAAGGAATTTCATACAAGTGCAAACTAAATGCATTGTTCAACAATTTCATGGGATCGTATGACTTACAAGAAAAAACTTTACGTACAGGTGAATTAACGTCAACTCTGAAGTTGCAGGCCTTTTATTTACCAAAAGATCATGAAAGAAAGTTCATCAAATGTCTTCTATGAGCTCTTGTGCTAAACAATGTGTAAGTTTATCAACACTGCAAACCTCTAATAATTTACTTGGAGCAAAACCGACACTTTATTGATGAGATATAATGAAATAACAGCCACTGATGATTCAGTTGTATGATATTATATGTGTTTAATACGATTCACATGAGATTTGCGCTCAACCTTGCAAACATCAGTGAAGTCTAGAGTCAAAATACATGCAGAAAAGCAGGTCAACTTGCAACGAGTAAGTCTGATGGACTGTAATAAAAATGGAGGGTGATTGTTAATTATTTTCATTTAGCAGTCTTGGACGTCAAATTCCAAACAGAATAAGGTAAAACACTGCTTACTGACATAATTTGAGTCCATTTTGTAAAAATCTAAAAGTAGGAACTAAACTCTAACAGCTCTCAATCAATCTCAAAACTTATAACATGCTTAAGGGAGTCACATAAAAAATGGCAACTAAACTTAAACCGATTTTTAGAATATAAACAATCCTAAATAAAGTGCTATTTTCTACGTTCAAATCAGATTAACAGTTTGCCACCAACTAACCTGAAACCTTACAATGGATCCCACTGTTGAGCAGGCATAGTTGACTCAGATGCTCGATTCGCCGTTTGCACGACTTCAATAGTTTCCTTTCTTCCAAACACAAGTATTCAGCCTTTAAGGTGTGGATATTTATTAGAATCGTTTACCTTGCGCTTCACACCGCAAATAGTTTCTAGGACTCTTTGAATAGCTTCAGCTGCTTTAGAGATATCTAATGCACTTTCTAACTCATCAAGCGATTTATTTATTGCTGCTACGCCTTTTTCCATATCTCTGTGATTGCGTCTGTACCGCTTGTTAAGTGATTCATAACTGGCCTTTTTAACAATCAATTAAAAATGAACTTCGTATACTTTCACGGTAGTATATTCCATAACCTCCACTTCATTATGATTTTTGTTGTCAGTCGACATAATCAGCTGATCATGAGCAACTTATAAACCCCGCCAATATTGTTTGCTAACTTCAAACTTCCAGTAGAAACTTGCCGTATTAGTTTGATAGAAATAGTACAGTGTAATCATGTATTGAATATTCTCTGGGCACAGTTGGAGACCGACGTAATAAAACCATTGAAGTGAAAGGGGACCGAGGGAAGATATAGCACGATGAAAGTATGCAGCACTTGGGAAATCTTCGATAGATGAATTATTTAAAATACTTTCCAAACTTAGGGTACCTGCAAAAATTTTAGTCACTCAACCAGCAGAAAGTACCAAATACTGTTCCTCTTACTTCAGCAGCCCCGAAGTTAGCCCCTCTGTTTCAGCAGTGTGCCAGTCTGACAGCGAAGTGTGTCTTAAATTATCTGCAGTGGCCCCAGAGAAACTGCTAGTTGGATAGTAGTAGCATCCTCCACCCGACGTAATCTTCGTTTAAGACTAGATGCTTATATCGATTGGTTTCACGGAGTCCATTCAGAAACCCTGCCAGAATACTTCTTGCATTTCACTGATCATTTTTCAAACTCTCCAGAGTAATACACCTACCTTGATCAGAAAGTGAGCTTTCATCATATACGTTGGTTATAATTAGTGGTTAAAAATTAGCCCCCATCCTAAATCGACCCACCAATTCACATTATTTTGATAGATCTATGGCCATCTTCATCCGCATGGCATGTTGAAATCGTGCAACAGCCTAAGTGAACTAGATCGCTAAGCTTAAACTACCTTAACACCGATGAGGCATATGAACCCATATATATATATATATGTATTGCAACTAGACACTGTAAAGATAACTACCACTTGCCACCCAAGTTGTTGTTATCCTTCCATATTTAGTAAGTTGCCCTAAGTCATTTGCTGCATATAGAACAGCACATGACAGTCTTTGGAGAAGTGTCACTCAAGCTATTTTAGCTTTATGAGCATTCTCATATGTCTACCTGTTCTAAAATTCTGCACTATAACAATAAGAATCATCCCACACCTAGTTGTTAGGGCCTAACACAAGCGGAATCGGGTTCTAGGCTTCCACAACATCTCGCTCAACAAAAAGATAGTTTGGGAATAGATTTTTGAAATATCTTCAGGTGATCATCAGCTACAGACAACCTGAAATTTAAACGGCTACCAAAGAATGCAAATTACAACCTGCATTGTTTGAATGGAAGCAGGGAGAATTAATATGAGCGAAGTGTCGGCAATGTGAGATCAGGTGGATAGAAGTAAAAATGATGCAATAAAGTAATTTGAGAAGACAGTACGTTCGAACCAGGTGACGCTTTTGCACGTGTAATCGTTCATATTCATTTATTGCTTACTGTTGATTGATCTGTAATAACGATGGGCCGAAATTCTAAAAAGAGTGTTCGTGTGAACACCAGTTATTTAGAAAATAGCACCAGCTCGTCTAATAACACATTACCACCCCTTATTATTAGTAGTTCACCCAACATAAAAGACTCGAACATAACTCTGACCCCTGTAATACAGGTGGAAGATGTTCTGTCTGAAAAGGTAGAGCTCTCTTACTTAAGATGCATTATTAAAGAGATGCAGCTACAGATAGATGAATTAAAAACGAAGTTAAGTTCATTAGAATGTATACCTGAAACTATCTCACTTATGAAAAAGGAACTGCAGGATCCTACAATCCTAAAGCTTTTTAATATGACCTCTAGAATGACGCCTACTGACTCAAAAGGTGCGAATGAGTTAGAAAACGCCGTTGACTTTCTATCCAGCGAAGTTGTTAAAAGGCTGGCTTCGAAACAAAACGCTATAGTGTATAATGTACCAGATAGCGAGCCCATAAAGTCGGTCCAGCACTCATTGTTGAAGGCTGCAAATCTCTTGAGTGCACCTTGTCAGTGCATTCGCCTAAGTAAAAAAGACCTAAAGCATCCATGTCCCATACTCTTTAGATTCAACAGCTACATAATAGCTGAACGATTTAAGAAGGCCGAAGATCTTCTGGCTACTGCCACTAAATTCAAGACTATTAAAGTAGTCTCGGATAAAACAACTAACCAAAGGCAAGCAACCAAGAACTCCTTCGATACAAAGTTGAACACACCGAGAAATGCACCTGGTATCATTGCTAAAGTGTCGACGGACACAGAAGCACAGCAAGTCACCTGTATAGTGTTGGGAAAAAAATCGGCAAGTAAAAGCGACTCGAAACTCAGTAAGAGCAGTGTCACTGGGTGCTATCTTAAGGTACATGAGAGCACATCTGGAAAACCGGCTGACATACATGAGGTTGATATTGACTCACAAATTATGGCTGACCAGAAACCACTGGCAGACCACATTCAATCTGTATGCAAGCCCGAGAGTCCCGCAGTAGAAACTGCAAGAAAGACGACAAAGCCTAGAGTCCCACTCCAGACTTCGACATACCTCCCTCTCAATAAGTCTAATAAGCAACATGTCAGTCTAAAAAATGACAATGCATGGGCAACAAAGCATATTTCCAAAAACATCATCTATCATGTGAGTAAGAACACCCCTTCCCGAACTAGGAGTAATATGCCTAGCAACGCACATAACTTGGGAATGCAACGTAGAATGGATCATCAGGATATATGGAGCACTAAACGGGACTCATATAGGCACCATATTAATGAATATTCTCGTCCAAACTCTCACACTATCTGTGTTAAACCTCAGCAACATAATGAGTATAGATCGACACTTGACCCTCTCAATAACTTCACTCACACATGTGATGTGAGCCAATATGCATACGACTATGAAAGACCCATGAGGTACAACTACCAAGGTAATCTTAACACAGGGTACCTAGGTCAAGCAAACTATGTATCACCAGCAAATGAACGCAGATGCCTACCCATGGATGCTGAAAGTCAAAACATGCAACAGGATTATTTTCGGATGCAGCAAACAATAGCCCCACTCGCTGAACAATTCATCCGGGAAATAGTACACACACTGACTCTGTCTCACCTCAGAGCCCCTCCAAACATAACGTAGGGATAGTAACAAGTAACCATGTTAACCTCTCCTCCATTAACTCTGGTTTGCTAAGGATTATGCTCCTGAATGCTAGATCTCCCCTTAATAAAATAACATCGCTTCGCTGCCTGGCATACATAGGACGGCCAACACTAATAATGGTGACTGAAACCTGGCTTACTACCGATATACCTGACTCAAAGCTAGTAATAGACAACTACGACATCTATAGGAACGATAGAGTTGACAAAAGAGGAGGCGGCTGCTTAATATATGCCTCTAAATCCACTAACTCCAATACTTTTAATAACCCAACTACTGACAAACTCCCTGAACCTAAGTGGATAAGCATCCACACAAACGAAAATAAAATTCTCGCGGGATGTATATACAGACTCCCTAATAGCTCTGAAATGACTGATATAACTATTGCAGAAATACTAGAGCATGTAGCCTCCCTGGACTTTGACTACAAAGTAGTCTGTGGCGATTTCAACTTACCTGGAGTAAACTGGGATACCTGTACAGGACCTAGAATCCATGACGAGCTACTACAAGCTATAGACGTAGGCGGATGGAAGCAGTGCGTACGCCTCCCTACAAGAAACAAAAAAAGTGAACTCCTCAATGAGTGGTTTTGCAATGACGCTAGAGTGCACCCGACCCAAAATTTCCAAGTGACCTGCAAAAGTAACCACAAATTAGGCGAAATAGACTTTAATATGCAAAATATAGACTCAGCGATTAAGACTTTGAAGTCTAATGGTAGTACTGGAACAGATGACATACCATCTGTCATGTACAAAAATGGTAGCACGGAAATGGTAGTCTTGTTACTTAGAATATTTACTCTCTCGTTGGAAACTGGAACTTATCCTGAAGTGTGGAAAACCACATACATATTACCTAAGCACAAAGCAGGGGCCAAAACCAGTGCATGCAACTATAGACCTATCAATATAACACCGGTAATATCCCGAATAATGGAGAAAGTGGTTAAAGACCAAGTGTCAGACAACTTACTAGAACATGAACTTATCAATCCATCACAACACGGATTTCTTAGAAAGGGATCATGTGTGACCTGTCACATAGACTTTTTCAAGGAAGTTACACGAAGTAGGGACAACAGAGAACTAGTAATTGTACTACATTTCCATATAACAAAAGCCTTCGACAGAGTTCCACATAATCTGCTAGTCAGCAGGTTATGCTCACTAGGAATATGTGATCCTCTCCTGAGCTGGATAAAATCATTTCTCTGTGGCCGAAGTCAGACAACGAAAGTTGGCTCGATAATCTCAAGGTCTAAACCAGTAAGTAGTGGTGTGATCCAGGGAAGTGTATTAGGCCCACTCTTATTCATAATATATATAAACAGTATCTGTGAATGCTTTAGTGTAGGTAAACCAATACTATATGCAGATGACTTAAAAGTGACGTATAAATGCAAGAACACAGATCTTGGAATAACGGTAAACACCATAGAGCAAGAATTAGAAAAAATGGATAGATGGTGTGACACCTAGCAACTCCAATTTAATGTCAAAAAATGTGGCTGGCTCTGCATAGGTTGCAACAATTGAGAACTTGACCTGACAATTCAAGGCCATGCACTTCAACGACTAGAATCTGTACTGGACCTAGGGCTGGAATATTCACATAACTTATCATTTTCTGAACATATCTCCAAACAAGTGTCAAAGTCACACAGACTTAGCGGCTCTCTACTCAGAAATTTCTACAGAAATGAGTCTAGAATTCTGTTGTACAAGGTTTGTGTGCGTCCTTTATTTGATTACTGTTCATTCATGTATAGTAGCATTCGCATAGAGGACAAATTGAAAGTCGAGGGAGTGCAGAGGTACTTCACGTTAAAATTACTCGGAACCGAAAATGGTGGGAACTACTCCACTAGATGTGATACCCTAGGACTAGAAACACTATGGCTAAGACGCCTGAGACTAAACTTAACACTTTACTATAAGCTTCTAAACCACTTAGTTTTTACCTCTACTAATGGCACTCGACTT